GATAAGAAAGGCTGCCAAATCTCTGTGGCAGGGAGGTCCCCTTCGCAGGCCAGTGGTGTATTTGGCTGCATGTAATTCAAGAAATTTTTAATAACAGGAATGCATCATATTGTGGATTGTGGGAGAGGAAGACTTTCTTGGCTTCTCTATGGGCTAAAGGGCATGATTCTTTTCCTAATATTTCTGTTACGAATCTCCATGGATGCTGAAATATTTTCATGCACAACATGTAGCTTTTCTGTTGATTGTTTTTTCTGCTTTTTGGGTTTTTAACCTTTTACTTTCCTAGCTGACATGGGGTTATTTTTCTTTTATTCTTTTTGTTGGGGAGGATGTCTCTTTCTCCTAGGATGTATTTCCACATTCATATCTCAATAACATCTTCTTCCCTTATAAAAAAAAAGAATTTAGTTGTGAAACCACAAGTGGTGTAAAGAGATTGCAATTGAGATCTATGAATTCAATAATCAGCTAGAGGAAGATGGGTCAATCTCAAGCTAAGCATCACAAAGCAAGACAAATGATCGATTCAGAAAATTAAGTGGGCGGACGGAGTGGATTTTGGGTACTTACATTTTCCACTTAAAAAGATAGAAGTTACTGTGCAGTTGTAGCCATGTAGGGAATCGAATAGAACCTTGATGGCTGAGAGAAAAGAGAATGTTGGGAAAAGTTTCCTACTGATCAAAAAGCATATAGGAAGGAAGTAGTTTTACATTATTATTAGAGAAGGTTCTTGCAGCAAAGGGTGGTATAGTTTGGTTCTGGCATTGCATCCTTGACGATGGTGCTAGTCCTGGTGGTTAAAGAGGAAGTGCAAAAGTATTCCAGAGGCAAACATGACAGTGTTGATGACATATATCCTTAGAAATTAAAGTGAAAAACGACGATAATAGTTTCAGAATAGTATCCAGATCAGGTAAGCTGGGGAAAATCCAGGAGAATCAACCACTCCTCCAAGGAAACCATTAAAGGGAATCCTATTATCTTGGCCAATCTCAGATATTTTCATAATCAAATTTGAAATTCAAAATGACCAAAAAAGCGATATCAACTACATATTAATTTGTACCTACAAGTAAACTCAATGCTGTATGCAAACCTGCTAAACTCAGCTAGTGCATCAGTCCCATGAGTTCTAGGAGTAGTAGTAGGCCAACTTTAGAAGCCTTTTGCTTAGATCATGAGTGCATAAAATTGGATTGTAACTAGTAATTTGTAATATTATTTTAGTTCATCGAAAGAACTGATAATTTAAACGATATTATCATTTTGTGGAAACATTTCATATAAATGAATTCATTCAATTCATATTTGGTGGTTATAACAGAAATTTTATTCTAATTAGTTTCTCGAAAATAATATAAACATCATTTGTTGTTGAGAACATTGAATAGTATGCAGTACAAAATACATAGCAGTCAACTATCCTTTATAAACAATATTCAATGAAATAAGAATAATAAAAATGTGGAAAAAATAAAGTTGAGAGGATTCTATAAAGCAAGTACTCCCCAAAAAGGAATTTGTGTCATCCCCAACTCCTTTTTCTTTTTCTTTTGTATATAAGAAGAAATAATATTGAAGAAAGGAGGAGAATACACATCTCTGATGCATTGATAATCGCAAATGAAATAGTTGATGAGCTGGTAGTCAATAAAAAGCAGGGGGTTCTATGCAAACTTGACATGGAGAAGACTTTTGATCATGTAAATTGGAATTTCATCGATTACATGCTGTCCCAGTATGGTTTTGGCACCTGTTGGAGAAAATGGATAAAAACTTGTATTACCACTACTAGCTTCCCGGTGATGGTTAACCGTCTTATACCTCTTACTATTTTTTGGGTTATTTGGAAAGAAAGAAACAATCAAGTTTTTGATGACACTAAGGATACCTTTGTAAATATCAAGGATAGATAGCTATATTATTTTGGCTCCATTCTTTTGGGTCATAACGTATTATTATATGTTGACATAGGAGTTATGGTCGATATCCTTATTGATATGTAAATCTTTTGTACATGGACAGCATCCTCTCGGTGCTTTTCTAATACATTTACTAACTTTAATCTCAAACAAAACTGGAGGATAAGATATCCTTCTAAAGCCTCCTAAGTCAAAAGGCCAAATCAGCAAAAAAAAAAAAAAAGAATCAAGAAAATATGCAACCCAGCCAACCCCTCCCCTCTAACCCCAAAAAAAAAGCTTGTCCCTATAACACAGAAACAACATCTGTAAAGTAACAACACACTATGGCTCATAAGGAGACCACAGAAACTGAAAAGAAGATAAAAATCTTCCAAAATCATGT